TTTTTTTTTTTTTTTTTTTTTCCTTCCCATCCTCCTGAGCCCTGAGACAGACGGTGATTCCAGCAGAAGCCGGGAGGGGGGCGAAGCGGGGGAAAAGAAGCAGGGCGGGGGGAAAAAAAGAAGAAACTGCTTTCTAGGTCTGGATTTCATTTGAGTGCCTCTCTCTCCCCCCTCTCCGCTCCCATGTGCCGCACGGCGCTGGGGGGATGAATGCTGAGCCTGTTAGCTCAGAGCTGCGAGCCGGGCAGAGGGAGGAAAATCGCCGAGCTCTTGGCATGGAGACACGCTTCTGCTCGGAAGGTTGGCTCCTGGCTGGGTGTGCGTGTGCTGTGCGTGTTGCGGAGGAGCTTTTCCTGCTTGCCAAAGCATCTTCCCTGCGGGTTTTGCCCTCCCGGTCCTGCTTGGATGGGCAGGAGCTGCCTGCTTGTTCCTGTTTTCTGCTGGGGGGAGAGGCTGGAGGGGGGGCAGGCAGAGCAATGAATAATTCCATTGAATTCCCCGCTTTGCCCGCAATTCCCGCCCATGTGGAATGTCCGAGCGCTTCCAGGAGCTGCTCCCGGCTCCGCGGAGCTGCCGGGGGATGCTGCCGCTGCCCGGGGCTGCCTGTGGCTGCTCCATTCCGGTGGCAGGGACAGGGGACAAGGCTGCACGGTGTCCCCCCCGAGCAGGGAAGCTGAGGGAAGGGTGTCTGTGCCCAGGCTGCGTGTCCCTCCTCCGTGCCAGCGCAGGGCACAGCCCGGCTCGCCCTGCTGGGCACCGAGCCTCTCGTCCTGGGCGTTCCCTGCCGGGCATCGGCGCTGGGAGGGAAACCACAGCGGCCAGAGGAAGCGCTGAAGCCAGGGTGGAGCGAAGCTGTGGCCGGGGAAGGCTGTTCCCACGGCTGGCCCCTTGCAGAGGCACCGTGCAGGGATGTGCTGCGAGCCAGGCTGGCCCTGGGTCAGGATTTACCTGCGGGAGCATCCCGCGCTGCTCTTCAGAGTGCGGGTGGCACCTTCTCGTCCCTCTGGCCATCTCTTCTGCTTTCTCCTCTGCTCTGAGCCACTTCAAAGCATTCCTGAGAGCTGCCTGCAGCTCGGAGCCGGGTGGGTGCTTCAGCTGGAGAGCCTGTGCCACTGGGCAGGGACGGGAGCGGGTGGCAGCGGGGTTGAGCCATCCGTGGTGCAGTGCTGGGGACAATTTCTTCTCACAGAGGTGCCGGGCAGCTCTGCAAAATGTGGCTGGGGAGAAAGGGGACTGCCTGGTGGCGTGATCCAGGGATTTTGGTTCTGAAGGAGCACCAAAGGTGGGGATCTCTGCGCCCTCAGGCTGTTCCTTGTGCAAGGAGCACCGAGCCCTGGTGCTTGGGCTGGCTGTCACTGCTCCCAGGGCAGGCAGGAAGACCCCAGAGCATCTTTGTGCAAAGGTGCAGGAGCTCTTGCTAATGCCCTGAAGCAATATTTGCAAAAAGCAATGTCCAAGTGCATCTGGAACTGGTTTTCCTCTGGTTTTCCCTGCTGTGAGCAGGGATGCAGGGAGGGCACGTGGCTGTGCCTGGTGAGCTGGGCCAGGTGTACATACATGTGGTGCGTGCCTTCACCTGAGGAGGCTGTCAGGATGATGAACACAACCTCTCTGCCCTCACTCAAACGCTGTGTGGGACCTTGGAAAGGTGCAGACCATCCTGGTGGTGTTTGTGAGACATGACTTTGGCATGAAACACGGGATGGGGAAATGGATGGCCTGAAGGTCTGGTCTCTGATCTGCTCCACAGGTCCCTGCTTGAAGGGGTCAGCACAGGCAGGCAAAGCTGCTCAGCTGGGGCAGTGGAAGGAATGACAAACCATGTGTGACAAAACTCTTGGATTCTGGGCACAGAAGTGACAAATAATGGTTGGAATCGATGATTTTAGGTGTCTTTTCCAGCTTAAGTGGTTCTGATGTCACCAGGCTGTGCTGCTGACTCTCAGACCCACGGCGCAGAGGGTGCAGAGGGAAGCTCAGCCCACCCTGGCCCTGCTGATGTGCTCTGAGGGTGCCAGGGGCCGTGGGCACTGCTGGAGGAGGGAGCAGGGCTCAGTCACAGCCAGCAGCACGTGGGCCCTGCCTTGGTGACTAACTGGGAGATGATTTGGATGAAAGCAGATCCGTGCCACGCTGGGGGCCACGTCCCAGTCACTGCTCTGGCCCGAAATATGCTTTTAATTAGTCCTGTGGGTGGGAAGAGCTGACTCCTGAGCCGAGTGTGGGGCTGCTGGATTGGATGAGGGCACTCCAGGGCAGGGGGGATCTGGGTCTGACCTCTTCTTTAAGGTCTGTTTTCCCACAGCTGCTGGCTGGGCTTGTCCCCTGGGGTGTCCTCTGTCCAGGGAGAGCTCGGGCTGTCCTCCCAGAGCCGTGTCCCTGACCCAGGATCCCATCTCAAACACCCTGAGCTGCAGGGAGGTGCGAGGTGAGGCTGCAGGGCTGTGCCAGGCTCCGTGCCAGCTGTGGGGCAGCGAGGGGCTGCCTGCTTTGTAGCAAGGTGCCAGCCTCAAGGGACGCCTGGGGGTGCTGGCAGAAGAAACACAACCTCACAGGACCCGTTTGCCTCTTCTAATCCAGTGAACTCATTTCTCACACGTTTCTGAAAGCTGTGAAAGCATGAAAAGCACTCGCTCTGAATGGGTTTGTGTCAGGTTTTGGGGTGGGAGCTGTCTCTGGGCTCTGTCCCTCCGTGCCAGGTTGTGCTGGTGGCAGTGGCCTGGAGATGGCTCTCCTGTCCTTCCCTCTGCCTAGCTCGGATCTCTCTGCAGAGCTTTAATTGTCCATGCCGCGGGGCCTCTTGCCTCTTCTTAAAAGAAAAGGAAGGGTCTGCAGCTCCCTGAGCAGAGAGGTTTGGTTTCTGCCCTGCTGGGGTGAGAGGATGGGCGCAGCTCCGATGTGTGATCTCCCGGTGAAATTCCTCACGTCACCTTTGAAATTGCATTGGGCAAGCTCATTTGGAGAGTTAACAGGTGATGATGAATATGTGATCATAACACCCGGCTGCAGTGAGTGGCATGGAGAGCCAGGCATGGGGGCTGGAGGTGCCTAGAAAGACGATAAAGGGTTAATTAACCCATTGGTGATCACTCTGAGCCTTTCAGTTACATCCACTACAGGTATGTTTATGTGCAATATTCTTAGTTTGGCGTGGTTTTATCCATTATCCTGGGCAGCAGGGGCTGGGTGGCCACAACAAAACATCTTTGATATTCTCAGAGCTGCCTGGGAAGCACTGCATGCTGAACTGAGAAAGAGCCAAGGAAAGCAGGGTGCTGTTTGTGATTGCTGGAGGTGTGAGGGGATGTACTTGTTCCTTCATTTCTTTTAATAAAAGTTAATCTTGTAAAGGTGTGTGTCAGGGCAGAGGGGTTGAGGTTGCTTCTGATGACTTCAGCTATCTTTGCTGCCTCAGGTTTCTTGGTGTCCCTAGGAAATGGCAGATAAAAGCCTGCCATTATTTGCATTGTTTTCCTTTTTCTTTTGGCTTGCAGGACACCACACATGGGACACCAGGCTGGGCATTTACACATGGTTCCACCTCCTGTCAGATCCCCCTGCACCCACCCAGCCCTGGCACTCAGGGACACCTTCCCATATGTCCTTAACCCTTTGTCTGCTGTCAGTGTCCCACTGCTCGTGTCCCATCTCTTGCTGCAGTGCCCTGCAACAACCACCTGTACCTTCACCCTACGTGTTCTGTAGCGACCTGTGGCAGCTGCAGGTCCTGTCTCAGGGAGCAGAAGGTCTCTCAGGGAAGGGTCTGTGATTTTTGGGGCTCTGGAGCTGCCTCTGCAGGCGCTGTGTCCACGGAGAGCTCCATGCTGCTCCCAGCCCCTTTGGCTTCCTGGCCAGCGGACGCATCCCCGCAGTTGTCTGGGGCATGTCAAGGTATGAAGCATGATCCATTTCCTGATGTCTGCTCTTAAATCTGCTGGAAATTCTGCTCACCCCCATTAAATATGGTCCCACTGTGGGGCACAACTCATCTCTGGCCTGACAGCTCAGGTAACGCTCCTCGACACTGCTCTGCTGCACTTGGCCAGCCCCAGGGCTGGAGCTCCTCTGCAGATTTTTTACTTTGCTGGATGACTTGGAGCCTCCAAGAAAGGCGATTCCCATGCTGCTGGGGTGAGGGAGGACATTTCTCATGCAAGTCAGGGCTCTTCCAAGGTCCAGCATACCATAATGCTGAGTAGAAGCGAGTACGTAGTTAGGGAAGTATGTCTGGGTCAACACATGTCTTGTGTTGCCTTAATGATCTCAGAAGCACAATCTCTGTGTCCTGTTGGCTTTTCCATGCAGCACTTGCAGCTGTAACTCGTGGACAGAGGGATTTGTTAGAGAGGAGTGCTGTGTTGGGCTCAGGGCTCTATGGCATCCCCATGTTAGGAGCAGTAAATGTAGGGAAAATTCCTTGTTCTGCCCCTGATGTTCCATAAGTCCTCAGGAAAAGGGGTTTATGCTGTCATTCCCCTTTATTTTGGGTAAGGATCTGGTGTCTGGGTCTCTGCTGATGCTCCCTGGCAGTGAAGGGGTGTCAGAATTGCAGCTGGGGGCTGTGAGCTGTTCTGACTCTGCAGCGAGGAGAATCCCCAGCACAGGGTTGTGGGTGGGATCTGGGGCTGCTCCACGTGGGCTGTGAGTGCTTGGTGGCTGCTCTGGACAGATGATGGAGAGAGCATCCTTTATGTGTGTGCTCAACCAATATCCATGGATCTTGACCCATTTTAAAGACGTTTCTTGAGCTCTATCTATTGCTTTTTCTCAGCAGTGTCTCCCTTCCTAAGCACCAACATTGAAAACTTAATTTCCCCTGAAAATGAGCAGGACATGGCCCTGCCTGTCCTCCAGCACTTCAGGCTGCTGTTGTTTAATTGATTTATCCTGATGAACCCAGCTGCTGCTTCTGTGCCACAGGACAACTGTGAGCCCGTGCTGCAGGATGGAGTTTGAGTGCAGGTGAAGTGAAATAGCCCTGCAGTGTAAGGTTTAACTGAGTTTTGGGTTGCTGATGCCAAGAGTGTTGTTAGAGACTTATAAACAGCTCTGGATTGTGGCTTGTGGGGGGAGAATGGGCAGGGGTTTACAGGTGAATAAAGTGCATTAGTTTTACAAGCAAATAATCACACAATAAATCTGAGAGTGTATTTTCCCCGTGGAATGACAGCCCAGGTTGGAAAGGATGCCAAAAGATCACCTGGCCCAGCCTTTTGTGGGAAAGGGAGCCTAAATGAGATTATCTAGCACAGTGCTCTACTACTGAAAAACCTGGCAGTGGGGACTCTGCCATGTCCTTG